TAATTGAAAAACTTTTAAGTTGAGTATTTTTTTTCTGGTAATATCTAATAGTACCGCAGTCGTGTTTTGTAAATGTATTCTCAAAGGCAAGAAAACAGACGGGCATTCACAGTAAGTAACCGAAGTTGAAGAAAAGACTTCATATGTTAATACTAGAAAGGATGACTATAGAATTTTTAAAGAACGAAAGTATATATGTAATTTAAAATTAAATTAACTTAGACCTTTATTTTTAAAGGATTTTCTTTTTTCTTTCGGAAAAGTCTGTTTACTGAAGGGTTTTAATGAGAATATTGTTTTAAAAGTGGATCATTGTTATTTTGTTCATTATATGAAATAGATGAAGCAGGGAATTTGTAACACGCTCATATTATATTTTATTTAAAACTATGTATTAATCTTTTCGTACCAAGGGTTATTTAGTAATTTGCGAATCACCTTTCATAGACATAAATATCAAAATGACAGATTTAGTTACGATTCATGTTCATTTTGACTTCTTGCTGACTGTTTAAGTTGAAACTGAAACAATGGTTAAGAATTTTTTTTTGACCCAGTAAAACTTAGTCATCGAAGTCAATTGACCATCGCAAAGTGTAAAGTGAGAAAGCCAGAGTCTGCAATAAACTCGTATTTGGATACGTATTCACTTGAATTTTTATTAGATCTTTAGAGTACTGAGCAACCTCTTTCGTATCTTAACCATTTTACGCCAAATATGCCGAATAGAGTGTGTAAATTTATAAAGATCAAGGCGATAAATGGAAAAAAGCGATAAAATCACAAACCAAAACTATTATAATACTATTTTCAATAGTTCAAAACTGCTAATAAAAAAATACATAATATATTATTAGGGTTGGCTTAAAAAAATCACAACACAATTTATCACAAACTTAAAGCAATAAAACCTTAATTATATGACAAATAAAATAAAATTTAACGAACCACGAACGAAATCGTTGACAAAGCGACAAACGTCAATTATTTTTATGACTTTATACTAGCGATATAACGTACAAAATTAAGTTGTATCGTTTTTTCTAGAAACAATGTTGGAATGGGGTATAAAATATAATGGGTCATTACTACAGCACTATCAGACTACTTACTGTTATGCCCACATTAGCTCGCACCCTACGTGTACTCTAAGAGCCCCCTAAGTGCTGGACTAAGATGGTTGAATCGATTTATTGATACTCTCACGTTCTCTTAACTTTGATGCCATTGTAAATTGTATGTGCTATAAAGATAAATATGTTCTGAGTACCATTAAAGTGAGACTTTGATGTAGCATTTTATAAAAAGGTGAAACGTAAAGAGAAATATTTTATAGATATTTCAATTTAGTTATCATTTGTAAATATTTTTGTAATGCTCTTTGAATTCTTCATGTTATTTTTTCTTATATAAGAATACTTGATTATTACATTATTTTAAATTAATAGATTATGTTAACATGATATTGAGTAAATTAATTCATATAATTGATTATTCACTTTCGTTTGTTATGAAAAATATCATATACATAATTTATTAATGTAAAAACGGTATGATTTTATTATCTACATATTTTCATTCTCTCAAAATACTGTTTTGAATTATATGTTTTAAATTATATTTTGTACATATTTTTTCATGATAATTTATCAGCTCCTAGTCTATAAGGAACCCTGTTGCTTGGGAAACGTCAACTATCAGAAGACCATAACACTGACTCAGTTATTTATTATGTCAACTAACACTACTTGGAACAAGATACGGTCTGTTTTATGTACAGACTGTTAAAACCAATTACTGGCTGGCTTTCTTTATACATATATAAAGTAAATTGTTCTTAGAAAAATTGTCATCTATAAGATCATAAAAATTTTTCCTTTAACTTTTTCTAATTCTTTATCATAACTCGCTAAGGTCTAGTTGAAATAAAAAAATAGTTGAATTCTTTCATACAGAGATTATCTATTGTTATTAATAGTAATAGTTTGTATTGTTAGTAATAGTGAGGGTTTTTATTACTTGCGACTTCCTTCTGCTTTGTTTTTTTATATATAAAAAGTTACTTCTGTGATTTAACAGAATGACAATAAAACATGACTATTTCTATAACATTTTATGAATTGAATATATCGTATCTTTGTAGATTGGTTTAGGTCTAAGACTAATAAAATAGTAATAAGAAAATTTTATTGCAATCTATCTAAGAGATTTGATATTATGCTACGAAAATTGCAAACATCTTACAAAATATTTTTATAAAAGTTATGATAGTCGACGAAAAATAAAGGAGTCTTTATTTAAAAATGTTGATTTTACTGAAAAGCCATTTCATTTATAAGTATCATTATTTATTGTCATTGTTGGACTTTAGTTTTGTGCCATATTCCGAATAATTTTATTTGATCATTGTCACCACAAAGCAATTCAAATATTTTAAATTTATTTAATAACAAAAACAGGTGGTTATCAATCTATATATATATATATATCGGCGCTACCAGCTTTAATAACGGATGCGACTTGAAAATAATTAGAGGCTGCCATCAATTCTTATTAAACCTCATTAGTATTTATGATTATTGTTAAAAGTAAAACGAAATCAAAAGAGAATAGAATTATGTTTGAATCAAAAAATATGACGTCTGGACTCACGACGGCGGACTCCAGAATTGAGAATTCAGTATTGATAATTCAGAGTTCAGTGAGCGTGTATCATAGAAGCATGTTATTATGAAGAATCTTTGAGAAATACAAGAGCATTAAGATCAATTGCAGTTTCATTTTAAAATATCATCGAATGCTCTAGAAGAAGTGACATTTGTAACGTCAGCGAGGCTGGCGTCCCTCTCTTTAAAAACAAGGAATCTGTAATAAATCCGATATATATATATATATATATATATATATATATATATATATATATATATATATATATATAACACGTATATATAGAACACGGAAATTTATGGCTTAAATGTAAATTCCAAAAACATAAATAATAAATTATTTATTTATCGATTGAGGCAGTACGAAATCTGCCGGGTCAGCTAGTTGGTTTGTATTTTTATATTACTTACCTCGTAACTTTTGATTGGATGAATCTATTTAAATTTTTTATATTTGAATTTTTTATTTGAAAGCTGGTACTTTCCGCGTAGTTCCATTTCAATTTGGTTCAGTTCTGACACTGGCAACCATGATAAAACCGATACACTTAAGTCTAAAATTAGCATTAAGTATATGAGCGACAAATGAACTACATAGTAACTTTAACGCCAAAGGTTTTCTATTTATTTATTTATCAGCTAAGACTTCACAGATGCTCTCATGATGATTCCAACAAGATAAGATAAGAAGACAAGAACTATTTGTGGAATCCTGAGTTAATTGAGGGAAATCATTAACATATATTAGCATACATAATACACATTAAACTGGCATTACTTAAGGTATATTATGTTTAACCTTCTTTGTCGGAAGACGATTTCCTAATCTGGTTATTAACCGACGTAAAAAAGGAGGTTCTCAATTTGTTTGAATATTTTTTTATGTATGTCCCAAATTTATCGAATTCTACTGGACCGATTTAAGAAATCTTTTTTATACAGAAGGCTGCATCAACCTGGTCACCAAGTTAATTAGTTTACATAACTATAAGAAATTAACTTTAAAAAACTATGTACATGGGAACACGGGAACTAAAAATCTATTTTCTTATTTAAATGCTCTTTCATTACTTCTATCCTTCTACTGATTTAGTAAATAAAAACTAGTCGGATATTAAATTATAATAGCCTAAAAGTGATCTAATAAACCTACACTCATTAATATCTTACTCAATACATTCAATAAATAACTAGTAATCGGTATAAAAGTAAAATTAAATTTCTTAACAAGAGTAGGACGACAAGATGTAGAATCGAATATTCCTTAGTGAAATAATGATATCACAATAGAAAAACTTTTTCAGAGAAGGAAAAAGAATATATAGGGATTGCACTTAGGTACAAAACAAATAACTACTTTAGCTCATTTCATATTACAGGCATTGCCATTTATTTACCAATAGTGATATTAACCTGTTTATTAATTTTATTTGCGAAGAAATGTTACCATGTCTTCAAAAGGTGATTAGATAATAAGAAATTGTATACATTTAGTAAGTTATTAAATTAAATTGGGTTTTTGAATAAAAAAATTTTTTGTGATAAATGGAAAGATCATATATAAGTTTTATAACAAAACTATTTTTATTTTATTTTTTTTGCAATAATTAAAAAGTTATTTCAAAATAAAAATTAAATTTTAAATTCAGTACCGAAGATGTGCCGACAGCTCGCGAATAAACGTGTGACGTCACAATGTTAGTTTTTGCTCATTGTAGCATACAGTTTTTATCTAGTAAATTCTGTTGGCATTGTTAAATAATCAAAAATGTCAAAACTCAAAAGTTATAGCTCTTGTTTTGTACCATTATGTACAAATACTACAAAAAGAACTCCTAAAAAAATGTTTTTAAATGTTCCACAAGACGAAAAACGTCGAAAGAAATGGTTTCAAGCAGTGCACCGAGAATATTCAAAAACAAAATCAAATTTTTTTTGTTGTGAAGATCATTTCGATGTAAGTATTCATAATAATATTGTTATTAATTATTATTTATCTAAGTGTATAAATCGAATAAGTATAGTTCAGTAATTATTTTTTTTACCTGGGCTCCAAATCATAACCTTTAGAATCGTAGTATTAAATTTTTTTTAATTGATAATTCAAAGCGATTAAAAAGTAAATCTATATGTATGTTTGTGTAATAATTGCAATTCAATTAATAGATATTTTCATAATTTTATAACATTCTAGGTTCAGTACCAGACTACATTTAAATTTTTAAAGTATATGTTATTTTGGTTTTTTATAATGTTATAATAACATTTTATTAATTCTTCTGATTTTTTTTCTAGCTAAAAGATGATATGGAAAATTATATTTATTATACCACTATGGGAGGTAAAGCAAAGATTAAAATTGATGTGGTACCACACAAGTTTGAATGTCAACCCAATCGTAAACGACAAGGCACTTCAATGACTCTTATTAGATCAGCTGCAGAAAAAAGACGGAGACAACAAATCATTGAAGAAATTTTAAGTGAACCGTTAGAAAATAATGAAACGGGTAATTCTCAAGAACCAAATATTGATGCCGTATCAGTTAACACTGTTGAACATATTGAAATTGATTCTGCTCCTGTAAATTTAACACCTGACCAAAAAGTTTGTGTTGAAACACAAACTGATATTAAAAACCGTACCGTTGCTGTACAAGTGAATAATCGTCCTAAGTATCGTAGTGTGGCAGTTCAATGTAAAATTTTATCAACTGGAGTTGATAAATCCTGCTCACCGATTAAAACTGGTAGCATTAGTACTGCAACATCTCCAATAAAACCACTGCGTCAAAAAAGAAGTTTGTCTGTAAGTAGTTTTACACATTCAAATAGTTCAGAAGACATTTATGAACCTTTGGAAAACACTGGCTCAAGTACTATGGATTCTAGCAGCTGTCAATCTCCTGTAAAAAAAGCTGAAATTTTGAAAGTCACAAATTACTTAATTAACGACAATTTATTTTTTTTACTTCAACAATGGCATTACTAGTCATTCCATCAGGAGATGCTGCAAAAACCGGGTGACTAGGTACGAGATACATCCCCGGACGCGTAATTTGTACTCTTAATTCTTTCTCAAGAACTTTGATTACATCTTTTTCCAATTCTTTCCCTCGCGTCATAGCACTTGTCTCATGAACTTTGGTCGCACCAATAATTTGTTGAACTAATGAACCGTTATCAGTTTTACAATGAGCAGCTTCATAAAATTTTGATGCAGTAATACGTCCATAACGAAGCTCATGCCAAATGGTACATTCACTTTGCTGTTTCGTTAGTCGTTCAGCTTCTTCACACACAGCTTCTTCCATTTTAGTTTCAGCAAATTTTAAAAATTGTGCAACCTGCAAATCTGTATTTTGATTAAAATCAAAAATAAGTTGATGTAACGATAAATTGTAAGCTTTTCTGTCTTCTAAATCAAAATTTAATTGCCCAATTTGAGAATTTATTTGGTGATTCTTGGCAAATTGAATTACTTCTTGTAGAAATGTACTATTATCCGGTAAATTGTCAACTAAGGTATCAGAGGTTTTTTTCGTCAGTTTTTCAGCTTCAATATATTTTATTACGGTTCCAATGCCTGATAATCGAGACTTTTTCCAGTAACAAGCAACTTCAGTTGGTGTCGGATCTTCACTTCTACGATGGGTCCACATGAGTAATGCCAATGCATGTTTGCAACCACCTGTAGAGACATTATAAATGATTATGATTGTTTATAACATCAAACAATTTGAGTTTAATTAGAGTATTAATTACCTGCTGAAGCTGCGCAATCATGACACTGAACATCATGAACTTTTCTTAATTTTTCATTGATAGTTAGAGTAACTGAGTAAGCTTTACTCCGAACTCGGTGTTCTGGACACACACGTCCTTTTAAAACACAAATACCATTCTTACGATTAAGTTGAACATAACCTATAGCTTTATCACCGTAACTCTCACGTGATGCTCTACAATTAATGAAATAATTATTAATTATATTTAATAGAGAATAAATACTTATTTTCATTTAGAATAGTATTTTTTAACAGACTTACCTTGATGCCTTAGCACCTCGAACTTCAGCAGAATTAAACCGAACGTCATTTTTTAAAAAATTTGTTATCATAAATATATCAACATCAGGAATATTATCCGATTTTGCTTTTATAAATCCTTTATCACACATAGTCGAAATAAACTTTTCAAATCGTTTTTCACTAATAAATTTGAGATATTTTTATCAAGTTAAAGATAATAGCCATAAACACTGTACTATTATGAAATTGCTTTAACATTATGACGTCACAAGTATGCTGACCAATCATGGCGCGTTTACAGTCACGTGATATATTTTTGAATTTTATCAATTTTTAATTGTTTATAATTAATTAAAAAAAAATATTTCAAGTTTTTTGCATTAAAAATCCAATATAATTAATAATAAAGTTTTAAAATACATAAAAAAAATCAATACTTTTTTTTTTTTCAAATACTCAATTGGTGGAAAGTAAACCAAAATAGTATTCGTTTATCTACATTAGGTGTTTAGTGTTAGTCGATTTTCGTGCCGAAAAGAATTTATTGTTATATAGGTTAGATTAGGAAATAGTATTAAAGTGAAAATACTTTTTTCCTTTTTAAATCCTGTTATGTTTTTGAAATACGTTTTTTTACACTAAAATAACTTTATTGCTCATTTAATTACTAAATGCTGGAAATTACTGGACCGCAGTTGTCTCCTTAATTACAAAATCCGCTAGGGACATATAATTGAGGTATGTGAATGTTCCAAAAGATAATGTCACCTTTATAAATGTATATTTTATAGTTTGAAACTGTAGGTGTACACACACCAACCTACATGTACACATGTGTAAGTGGAGGTTTTCAAGAGGACAAATTTAGGATCACTCGGATATATACATATGTATGGCTGATATGAACATTTTAATTTAATTACAAATAGAGTATCTGTAGACAACGTGTGACTTAAGGGATTTAGCAACCTTTCCGTTTTAACAACTAAGCTGCCGTGCTTTTATGAAAAGAACCATATAATAAGCAAATTTGTAACAGTACATTAGTGACATAAATCCCATCAGGTAGGCGCGGATAAATATTTATTACGAAATTCCAATTATTACAACGTTTTATTCAAATTTACATAACATACGAGATCCAGTCACTTAAAAATTCCTCAAATTCTCTTTGACAATTGATGTTCATAAACTTCGTGAGTCTCATGTAACCTAAACGGTTAGACCCGTTTAATAACACTTCTTACAAGTCATATGTCTGTCCAATGTCGCCTCATAGGCAATACGTAATGAATATAAACATTTGCCACGACGTGGATTATTTAAGTATTTCCATACAATATTGAGGAACCAGGTTCACCCTTAATCTTCTGTCAGATATAAAGTGTCTTTGCAACCTCTTGAAATACAAATGGTTTTGTTTTTTAAGTTAATATAATTACATAACTTGTAACAACTTAACGAAGGAAAATAATACGCTAAAACAAACTAACAAGAATTAGAGAGAAAATCAATGCTGTCTTTGTATTTGTGATATAATTAATTAATTATAGATGTTAATAACAGTGGGGTGATCAAAAAAAATTTCGACGTGAAATCACTTCCCCGTTACATTAGCACTTGTTATGTACATTTGCAACATTTTTTTTACATTTATTTGTATAACTCTAGTTCAATACATAATAAATAAAAGTTGATGAGTTACATACATTTTAGAACCAAAGAAAAAAGTCCGATATCATTCTCATAGTTGATATTACATTTCTCTGAAAAAGAAAGTATTTTTTTGTTGAAATATTACGGAAATTTAAGGATATAAAAAAGACCGAAAAATATATTTTTGTAAGGCAGAGATAATAAAGTTAATTCCTTTTACATTTGTACGAATATTATAAATTTCCAAAACAAATTCCAAAATAACTTTGATAAAAGTTGTCTATTTCGACATTCTGTGAATCAGCAAAAGAGGAAGTTTGAAAGTTTACCAGTATTTTAAAACCTCTTAAAATTATTCTTCAAATGTTTTACAGCAAAGCTAAATATTTGCGCTATTAAATAAAGTGTAGTTCCGTCACGAACCAATAACTTGCGAAACATTTTCAACTTTTCGAACTGTATACGTAATATATTTCAAATGTTCAAGATTTTGTTCAAGATTAAACTCTATTTTTATAAAGCACGCGATATGGTGAGATGTTTTAGAAGGCGACGTCATTTGAAGAGTTAATGTATATCCATTTAGTAATAATTCCTTATCCTAGAGCCGTTCGATATCGTTAGCAACTATTAAACTGAGAAAATTAGCCGGCTAACAAACTTCCTCTATACCCTTATGCTTCATTATACAATATACAGAACAAAAACATAAAATAAAAGAATGTGGCCTTATGATAAATTACACAATATATTCACCCACATTTTTCATAGTTGTTCTTAAAGGTTATCTACTACTCTTTTTTCCAAATGATCGTCATTTCTAACAATATAAAGTTAAAAGGTGAGTAAAAATTAAACAATTTTAGAATTTATCACAAAAGTTAAACATTTAAGGATTAATTATATCAAAATTATATCAAATAGGAAAGAGACTTGAACTATTACTAAGGCAGAGAATAATATGATCCTTTCAGTACGGAAAATGGGTATAATATAATGGGTATGGCTCGAATAGGTCACTGTTGGTTTGTAGTCAGATGGAAGTTTGGACTTGTTATGTATAACTTAGTTGGAATCTTATTCTGATATCCGAGGTGTGTTCTGCATCTTAAACTAATATGCTTAAGACTGATTATAAATAAAGAAAAGAATTTTAAATTGAGTTTTAAAATTTACAGTTATGAAAACACTTTTTATATAGTCATTTTACTTCAATAATAATGAATTCGTTAAAACATTAACATTATTATTACAGTCAAATAATATTGACTTAAATGTTTCGTGTATTTAGCAAACAGTAAATTTATAAATCAATCAGTAATCCGTCAGGCTAAAGTGAACTAATTGTAAAATAAATAAGTTTTTATACTAATGATATTCTAGTCTATTTTAACTTATTTACACAATGAGTATTCTTATACAAACACAAAACTTCTTTTTTTGTTATTTATATGAATATCAATGTACTCAACCTATAGCAAAGGTTCATAACTATTATTATAAAGGTTTAAAATGTATGAAAATGATACATTAATTTCAATATACATACATTTGCATACCAAGAAATGTATTTAAAGAAATACATATAGGTCACTTACATATAAGTCACTTATATATAGAGCACTTTGAGGCCATTAGCCCCTGGACTTATTGAAATCATATATACTTACGTCAAGCGTATCCGTAATACTAACGAACCGTGAAAACTGAAAGCATCTGATAATTGACTGGTTTCTAGAACGTTATAGCCATTATACTAACGAGGGCCTTTACATATAGCATTGTCCTGATCAAAGCGAATATTTGATTCTATTCGCATATTAAGTTGTAGCTTTAGACAGCACTACACTATGAGAATATAACTGTTGTTAATTTGCAGTATGTTTTGATTGAGGATCCTTGATTTTGCTTTGTGATGTATTGTTTAATATTGAATATAAACAACTTTGTATCTTATCAAGATATTTGAAATATTAATAACTCTTTCATGTTTGTAGATGTGACTTAATTAATTAGATAATTATTATTGTATTCAACAGGATATCTTATTGACGAATTATAAATTTGGTGTTGTATTACTGTCAATATTTTAAATATATGCTATATTCAACATATCGTGAGATATGCGAGCTTCATAACGTTACTTTATTATATAAATTTTGGATATAATTCAATGATAAAGGCACTCATCCTTCATCTAACATTTCACTTCAACCTACTTCAAGTGGGAGCTTCGGTCACAATAAGTCACTATGTTCATATCTATAGGCTGTATTGAGGACGCTGACGGGAGAACTCCTTTGTTGATTAGTGTCGGATGCAGCTTATTTACACGAGGGTTTATTATTTGTTTCTAACAAGAAAAAGCTTTAAGTTGTTTGGATCAATTAGCCTTTACCTTTCTATAGATATTAATACAATTTTAATGTCTGCAGTTACAATGTCACGTTATTAAATTATAATATCATTTTCATATATGTAAAGATTTTGGGTTAACTGCGCAAACGCAAAATCTATCCACTGCATTCAATGCTTTTTTAGGGTATATAAAAATTTCAGGATATTAAATCTAGGCTATTAATGTTGAAAAGTTATCAAATATTTCTATGTATACTCTTTAGTAAATTATACAAATTATTTGAGGATGGACGCCCAACTTCCTTGGTTTTTGTTTTCGTTCTAGCAACTTCGACAGTTTCTACAAATTGGACAACTTTTTCCGATTGACTTTTCGAATTGCGGCATGAGTTTGTAGGTAAAAACATGTTTTTTAGATGTAATTTAATATTACTGTTGCCAGAATGTTATTACTGTTATATAAGCAATCATATTACGGAGCTAATTTAAGTAAATAAAATTATTACATATGGGCAAGATATTTGTCATAGGATGATTTGTATTATCCTACATATATTTTTATTGCGATTATTAAAAAAATTATAAAATTTGTTTATGTTTTAAAATTTATTCTTTAT